GAGAGAGAGAGAGAGAGAGAGAGAGAGAGAGAGAGAGAGAGAGAGAGAGAGAGAGAGAGAGAGAGAGAGAGAGAGAGAGAGAGAGAGAGTTTACCCCGTAGCACTGATCGAAGCAACGATAACAGAGGAAAATGAAAAGCAGACTGTTTAGAAACAAAAGAAAATCAAACTACATGAATACACATACACGGGGAGGATAACTTACCTTCAGTCATGTTAGCGCGGTCGGTTGAGAGCCTCCACGCACCCAAGCCTCATCAGCGTCCAGCCTTCACTATGCAGAGCCCGGCCTCCACCAAGAGCTTAGCGACCACGTACGCGCACGAACTGCGCCCCAAAATGTACGCGTGTGTGTGCGTGTGTGTGCGTGTGTGTGATCATCGAAGTAGCGTGCATAGAGAGTTGAAAAACGGAGGTAGAGATCAGGGGGCTCGTCATAACACTCACCAAACTACAATATACGGATGTCATTCTACCAGAGAACAAGTGAACATATACATTTGTTGTTGCTATGAATAGTAACTGACGTATCTCTTCACTTTCTGCCCAAAGATTCACTTGTATTTTCTTCGTCTCGGGAAAGGTTTGGCGAGGCCCCTATTCTCTGCGTACCACCGAATTTCGGTAGCGAAAAGTCCGCGCGGCACCTCGCGGGCGAAGAAGCTTCGATGAAAGATGAATTCTTTCAAAAAAAAAAAAAGAAGCTTCGATGAACCCGACAGATTGGAGGCTCGACAGGGTTGGAGTGGGGGGCATACTCACACTAGGACTTTTTCCACCTCTCTTTGGCTGTAACTGCGGTCAGGTGCATGCCGTCGGGACGGTCAGGTGTATGCCGTCGGGACGGTTAGGTGCATGCCGTCGGGATTGCAAACGCGGTCATATACATCCACGGAAACCCTAATGCGAACAGCCAGTGTGATACGTGGACAGGGCCCTGAACTCGGAGTCGATCGAAGGAACCTGGCTGGCCCTGAGCGACACACAAGGCCGAGCCACACGGTCGATGGGGATTCTGGTGATGCAGTAATAAACTGACTCAATATTGAGGGTTGTCCCACATATGCGTTTTCACATTTGGCTTCAGAATACCGATGGGGACTCCTGTGATGCAGTAAAGGCCTCCTTAGACCCTCCTTGGAAAATCCTCAGAAATTAGGATGAAGTCCTTGGGAAACTTTGTGGTTTTCGGCATCTTAGTTACACCGTGTCCTAATTCAATGGGTTTCAAGGAAAACCCTTGGAGGTCTCCAGCGGCCAATTTCATATGCATACACACGGCCGCGGGGGTGGATGTCCGTCATCGTGCTGGGATGTCCGTGCGTCCTCGGGCGTGGTCCAGTGCCAGTGGCGGGGAGGCCTACCGGGCTGACAACGAAAAAGGGCGCCAACATCCCCGTTCCATTTCAAATTTTGAACCCTCTGTTATGACACATCCGTGCGTGAGGCGTCCTGGCGTCTGGACTGGAGACTAGGGCGAAACGTTTGTGCGGAGGAGTGATGGCGGCCATGGCTTAAAAGGAGGGCATTGGAACGTTGGGGGACATAGCACGTATGCGACGTCCCCTTCGTGTTCTGCATGCTCTTCGGGCCGTCACAGCTTAGCGTGAACGTAACGTTTCCGTGAAACGTGGAAAGTGCGAGCGTGGTCCCCATTGACGTGCAGAAGGTGCAGCGAGGGCGCCGGCAGGCAAACAAGTGGTGGGTGCTTGCGCACTGCAAGTCTTGACGATGGAACGAGAGTTCTCAGGTGGTGCGAAGGCATTAACGGCATTGGAGAGAAACACGGTGGTCGCAGTTGTGTCAGTCATCGCCATGCGTTATCGCATTGAGAGAATAACAACTCGCCTGAGGATGAGATTGTCCGTTCGTAGGCAGAGGTAGCTGATGCATCAAGTGATGGATGCACCGGATTGTGTGTCGTTATCGGAATCCATTGTGCAATTTTGCTGCACCATGGCATCGGATGTGATCCCGCGAGCGATCCGACAGGTTGACGACGCGGCGGAGGGCTACTACAAGGAGAAGTTGTAGAGTGGAGTAGTCAATGGCGCCCGTCGGCTGTCTGCTGGAGGTTTCCCGCCTGTCCATCGTTGTCTTCCTCACCATTCGTCGTTTTTGTCTGCTCCCAGGACCCCGCATAACGACACACACGTGGAACAACACGGCAATGAGCAGGAGAAGAGTGGCCAGCAGCACGAGTGGAAACCGCTAGAGGACGTCTGCCATGAATTGCAACGTGCGAGGCGTGTACCAAACAAAGTTTGCATCAATGCGCCTCACAATAGTGGACAAAACACGCTCGGCAGATGCCTCCAATCGACCAACAGTGCTTCAACATCGCTTGTAGACAAATAAAAAAATTTGACCGTTGGACACCACGGTCGGCGACGCTCGCATGGAAAACCCTGCTTTATGAAGCGCCTTGCAACTGAAGAACCAACCCCGCCTATTTTCACGCCAACGGTAACGGTGGAAGGCCGTTAGGGAGCCGTCGGGTACTGGAGGCCAACGATGTCCGCCCGATGGACCACGGACAATTTGTGCACCAACATCGATTCCAAATTTTCCTGTCGGCGCTCCCTCTAAAACACTCTGTCAATCGCGACTCCTTGAACCCAAGGGACCTCGCGAGGACCCCTTGAATCCAATGACTTTTTGGTTGGGGATCCTGAGGAATCCAAGGAAATCTCTCGGGAGCGTTTTCACATTCATTCAAGGAATTTGGTGAATTAGGACGCGGTGTAACGACACCGATTTCCTAAAAATTGGATTTCCAAGGAGGGTCTAACGAGGCCCTAACTAACGGGCTCAATATTAAAGAGGTCGAAAATCGGATTTCCAAGAAGGGTCTAACGAGGCCCTAACTAACGGGCTCAATATTAAAGGGGGCGCCACATATGTGTTTTCACGCTCCGTACCACGCACTGCGTAGGCTTCAGCCCAGAGGGCATGGACCAAGAGGACCTGTCGTGACGTTTTTAGTATGAAGTAATGAACACACTCAATACCGTGACTGAAGGGGTGCCATATACCTGTTTTCACACAGAATCACAGTGTACCACGCATGACGCGCAAGCACAACCCGGAGGGCATCGACCGCGAGGACCTGTCGTAACGTTTTTAACATTCTGGATCGAGATACGTTTCGCCTAATCAAGGATGTGTTTGTGTTTTGCATGTCACGGATTTGCAAAAGGGGTTATAGCATGACTTAAACCACCACCACTTCATTCAGCTTGAAAAACAAATATGTGGCTCGTATACAGCCGCAACTTTCGAGGGTTTGGATATTGGATGAAAATGGTTGGTGGGCCCAACCAAAGTGAGGCCCGTACCGTTTCGTATTTTTTTTTAAACGCCGAGAATTTTCAGACTTGACTTAAATAGTTGGGCGAGGTGTGGGCGAGATAGAACACATTTATGAATTGTCTAAACACAGATGCAAGTTTAAATCCTGTAACAGGAGGTTGAAATTGTTGTAGGACTTTTGTTGGCTTTGTTGTATATCAACACATTGACCACCATCGGTAGTTCTTGCAGGGAGTCGTGAACTTATTATAGTGTAAACTTTGTTTCGTTGAAGTTGGTTGTTGAAGAAATTTTTGGTTCAAAATTCATACATATTAAATCTTAGGCTATACTTACGCCAAAGATTTGTTCAATATAAGGGCAAACCGACATCATGACGTAGGTTGATCGAATTTTAAGGGACGTTTGCAATAGGACATACGTTTATTAAAGTCAAAGAACATGTCAATATTAGGATGCGGTTTTGCTGAAGGTGATAACTTTTTCAAATGTTGGTAATTTCTAAATGTTGGTTTTGAACTATCGACATTAATTGGTTTTGTCCTAATAAATTTTACTAGTCATGCCAGGACTTTGCTGAAGGTTAAGCTTAAGAGTATGCTGATACGAATTCATTGTTGAACATAGAGGTGAACATTGGTGGTTTAAGTGCATACTGATATGAATTCTTATTGTACACATTGTCAAACTTGAGTCTAATGTGTGATGGGTTGTAGTAGGGCATACTTAGACTGGGAATGTGCTGGTTACGTTCAATTTTGCCCTTTTATGCATACTTAGAGTAATGGTGTATTGAATGTTGGGGCATACTTAGACAAAGAATCTGTTAGCTATGTTTAGTTATTTTTTCACAGCGTGAGCTTTGGTCTATCGAATTTTATGATACGCTTACAATATGACTTACATTAGAACACGAGTTTATTGAAGGTGATGATTCATTCAAATGCATGGAGTTTCAATTCTTTTGCTTACCACTTTCTATGCCAACTTTTAACTACTCACTCACATGAATGCTCTCTTCGTTTATGTCAGTTTTTTTTTTTTTTTTTTTTTTTCCGAGTGACTATCTTTCGTCACATAAAATAGATGTTTTTGACAGTTCACTCTATATATGGTTTGGGGTCTTGCTTGGAGTCTACCTCTACGCCTGGATCTGGGTTTGGTTATACTCTTGGAATTGGTTCGTTACCTGAGTATGGTTCCGAGACATAAAGAAATTAATGTGAGCAACAACGAAACTTGTTGAGTAACGTTTTATAAATGAAACCACAAATCATGAAAAATCGATTACATTTTTGTGTGTCTGGTTCATAAACGTAAATAACATGGTGAACTTGTCCTGTGTGATAAATTTGCAAACATCTTTTTTATATGCTTTCGTGGTTTTTATTGTGAACAACTTTGATTTGGGGTTTTATTTTCAATTTATTAGCCTTGTTCTAGCCTTTAGGCATCGCTTTAGGTATAAGTTTGGTTGTGGTTATGGTTTTGCTTCTAGGCTTGAGTATAGTTTATGTATATTCTGACTTGGGTTTAAAGATTGCTTATAGGCTTGATAGAAAAAAATAACCTCTACAAACATCAACCAATTTTTATGAACATTTTGTCAAAAATTTAGCCATGACTTCCTCTCTCGATCTATGTTTGGTTTTGTTTTTTGTATTGATTCTTAGGCTAAGTGCAAGTCGGAGCCTCGACTTGCATCCAATCCTTTTGGCTTTGGGCTTACTACATTTAATTTGATCACCGAATATTTATTGTAATGCCATTACTATGCATAAGTTGATGTTTGTTAAATTAGTGAAAGCATTCATTAAGTCTTGATAATGACATCATAAATAAACATCCACGGAGAACGTTTGTATTAATGTTTTATTACATCAAGAGTAGGTTCTGCTATAACTGATCAAGCCAATGTATTATGAGTCTGACTGCATTATACTCTAAGCT